AGGTTTGGCCGCTTACAACTGGGATTCTTTCATGACGATAGCGATTACTGCGATTAGTTGACCAGTTGACCGACCGATTGAGGACGATTACACAGACTTGATTCGCATTAGGAGAAACCGAACGAAATGTGTTCACACTTTTCCCGATTTCTAGAGGTTTTACTACGTAATATGAAGCTAAAACAACTGTGTGTTGAAAAGTTACTGAGAAGAAATCTATGTCGAATTTTCACAATCACAGCTTCGGTTAGAATGGTCATAAAAAATGTGCTTGAACAGAAAAAAAAGAAAAGAGGAAAGGAACCGACACACTTATTAGATTTTACATCAGAAAATTAACCAGTAGTGCTAAAAACGTTATAACATACCGCTGATAACCCCAAATCCTCTGTGGCAGCATATCATAATGGATTCGTCCACAAACGATGATACCCTCCTGACTGGCTTTTTATCGGCCGGACGGGGAGTATACTCTTCAGACCGCTAATTCCTAACATTCTCGTTGCGCAAACATAAGGCGTTATTTTACTCTTTATTGCGATGAAACTGATGTTTCGGAGGACTTCACTTTTCGCAGAGCTTGGAAAGGTCAAGTTGACCACAAACTGGCCAAGTAAACACTTCCATAACGAAGCAGAGAAAAAGCTCATGGAATGACATAATCAGTGGAAGACTCACAAAAAGCTTGAGTGTGCAAACAAGCTACTCTGTGTTTAATGTGTTTGAAATCTCGGTTTAACATTTTCTCGGTTTAGTCATGGAGGTGTTTAGCTGGGTAGATTGCGGTCAACTTGACCCTTCCAAGCTCTGAGAAAAATAAAATCCACCGAAACGCCAGCTTCATCGCAATAAAGAGTCAAATAACACCTCGTGTTTGATCAACAAAAATATAAGGAATTATTTGATCAATGACGAGGTTACTAATAGAAAGCCGGTCGTGGAAATTACTAAACTGGCAATCACTGTACTTCAACAGATCTAACAATGCATGACTGATGGTAACTGTTTACGATGCTGGTCGTCAATGCCGAACACTCGTGCATGTCTAGCAGAAAAACTTCACAGTAATCTGGTTTCCATCTTCTTTCGAGCTATTTTTCTATTAGGAAATTCTATTCTATCCAGAAAACCTACCTCGCAGCGTGTATCTGGAAAAACCGAGGATTGGTGTTGTTTTGGATTGATTATCGTCATCACTGTTTACCGCTATCGCGATGGAATGAACAACAAACACCTTATTTTCTTGAAGCAGCCGTTATTCTCAAACAGTCTACTGAAGAAATCGATTTCAATTCGGATTTCTTCTAGCGAAATCCGAGAAATCCGTTCACTCGTTGATGTCGTCAAAGGGCCACTTGTTTCCGCAGGCGCTCAACTCGGCAATATGCGTGACAGAATCCTTCTCGGCCATATGTCCTCTCACGCCTTCTCCTTGGATTTCTTGGCGAAAGAGCTCACCCGCGGCTGCTGCGGTCGATGTCTCGCGGTGTGTTTGTGTGTATATGTGTAGATCTATGTGTGTATATGTACATGTGTTTGTCTATGTGTGCGTATGTATGTATGTACGTACCTACGTATGTATGTATGTTCGTATGTATGTCTGTATGTATGTATGTATGTATGTATGTATGTATGTTTGTATGTATGTATGTATGTATGTATGCATGTGTGTATGTATGTATGTATGTGCATATCTATGTGTATGTGTGTATGTGTATTTGTATGTGTATGCGTATGTGTATGTATATACGTTTGAATGTATGTATGTATGTATGTATGTATGTATGTATGTATGTATGTATGTATGTATGTATGCGTGTGTATATATGTATGTGTTTGTTATAAATGGGAACGTGCTTGTATATGTGTGATGATTACACCGACTAACTGACTAGTGACTTACTGGCTATAAATTGTCGAGGGATTCACATCATCCGACCAATCCGGATAAACCATCAACCATCAGCTTTCGGTTCACTGACGGACGAAGACGAATAAGTGCTTTCTGATGACAACAGTAAAACATGATAGTGGAAATAATGTAATGTATAAATTCTTTTATTTTTGTATATAAACTTGTAAGGAACAAAAATGAAATAGAATTTAGTTCGAACAACTAAGGAGGATTTTAGAGGCAGGATCTACATAAAGATTTCCTCTGGAAAACAATAACACAATTACGTTGTATTCTTCAAAAAAAATCTGGGAAGTGATTCGAATTATAAGGAAAGGCTGCTCAAAAGTCCTAGTTTAGGATTACCTAGGATAAAATTTTGATTAAATGCAAAGTACCTAATCTTATGATTTGTCCATGACCAGAATTCGATGTACCTCACTCAGATGTGAGGGGCTCGATTAATGAACTTCAACAACTCGTGTTGCTCAGCGAAGCAGCAGCTAACGGCGTAGCAGATAGGCATCAGTTCACGTAACTAATTGTTTGACTACAAATGAGCCATTTTGTCGATCGATAAATCAGCAAACTAGTGTTAATATCGACTCCACATGCAATTATGCTAATTTGTATTTGGATAGATAGTCAATGGCGCCACTATGTGGGCAGGAGTGGGTGCTACGAGATTACGGTTAGCCGACTCAGACTATGTCTTCATTTTGCTATATTTAGGAGAAAAAAGCTTCAACCGGGCTGACAACGTAATCAGTTCGACGTAGAATCATATTAGAGGCTTCCAATGCAATTGCAATCAGTCATAATATGTAATGAATAAGAAATTATTCCATTCATGTTTACGAAGCTGCGGCTGTGCATCATCAAGAGATATCGAGTCGATTACTGACGAGACTATGTGGTGAGCACTAGATGGTGGACAGGGGTGCGGGAGATGCGGTAGTAGTGGGGTTAAACTCGCGCTAAAGGCCACAATGTACTTGACCTGATACTTGGGTGGATTTAGGGGATAGTCTGCCTGTGTCTAATTGACATATATCTTCTCTGCGTACGTAATATATTCAGGAACACGTTTGCCAGTTGGATTGGTGGGTATATATATATATATATATATGCATGTTTGCGCGTGGATTGTATCCTTTACGTCGCTTTGATCTTGTAGATTGTATCAAGTGTCTGGGAGTATGTGGGAGACCTGATTCTTGGCCACCATCAACAAATCAGCGACATGTTGACTTTGAGAAAGACCTGTAAAACCTTCCTCGTAAGGATAATCATCTCGTGCATTTTTGCTGAAAACGCCATATACAGAAAATATGCCATATACAGAACACACAACAAAAATGAGGCTCTGCTATCCCTCAAACAGCTAGAAACCACTTGCCAGTTGTGGTACCCATAAGATCGAATGGAGATTTCACTGGTTTCGCTCGCTCAATTTACTCGGTGGTGATCAAGAGGCTTACGGATATTGTAGTAGAGGGATAGATAAAGGTTTATAAACCAGACTTTAACAAGAAACGAATATTCAACACGTTCCGTTATGCAACAACATTGATTCGACGAGGAAAAAAGAAATCCATTTTCTAGGAAGTTTCTGTATGAAAATATTTCCTATGAAAAAGTGATGAAAGAGTGCAAGTTTCCGTAATTAGGTCCCGAGGCAACGAAGATGTTCTTCTGTCTCTTTTTTCTATCCTCGTGTTCTCCGTGCCTTTACAGTAGATACGAGTGAACTCATTGTTTCACGAAAACTCACTCACATGAACTTGTAACGAACTATGCGGGAAACGGAAGACAAAATTGGAGATGTCGTCCTCGCTCCTGGTGTAGATGTAGAATTTTCGCCCACATATGCTCGTTTACACATGTTGGTGTCTGGGCGATTTCTCACATAAGATTTAGCACTTCTCGAGACACGTAATATTGGTACATCAATTACGTTCCATCCTTCCCACAACCTCATCCGTATTGCCCTTAGTCATTCCAACCCATCCTACCCTCAATGGGGACATGTTGTGACCGTCACAAAATGTTTGAAATGCTGTCATATCATTTACGGACCACATTAAATTCGAAAAGTGATGAAAAAGAGAGCCAAAAACGAAAAAAAACCATCATCAGCTCTTTCTGATGTCGGATCGAACTGGTACAAAACCTTATTCCACTCTCTAACAACAGGTGGGGTAACAGCTTACCTATTAGTGAAGGTGAAGAGGAGAAATAGTGATTTTATGACGTCTTGATATAGTAGGCAAATAATGGTTATATTACAACCACAACGATGATGAGATATTCACAAAACTTGGACCCCGCGCCAGATCGAACCACAACTTCCCTTTCCGGGGGCTCGCACAGTACACACTGCGCCACGAACGCCCTTGCTCTGCGTTTCTCTCAGCAAGTTTTCTACCTAACTCTGCCATCAGCAATCACTCGTCAGCAGGACTGATCTGGAGAGCACAAATTGGCATTGAACCCATTTAAGCTTAGGCTGTAATGTAATCGAAATCACAATGTTAACCTTTGATTTTCTTTTTTGTTTTTCATGACAAGGTATGATGTGAATTACAACCATGGCGATGTTGAGATATTCGCAAAGCATGGACCCCAGGCGAACCGCGATTTCCTTTTCCGGGGGCTCGCGCATTACACACTGCGTCAAGGAGGCCCAGGAATGTTTATATTATTTCTACTCTGTTAGGTACAAATTTCTAGACTGTGTTCTATAACAGCCTGGAAAAAATAGAGCAAGTGAAGGTCAAACTAAAGAATATTCTAGAAAGCTAGAAAAGAACTGATAAGCGAAAATCGAGCATGATCCATTTTAGCTATGATGCAACAGTAACTGAAAAGTTACTGATGTAATGCAACACTTAATTTAATAATAATAATAACAATAATAATAACAGTAGTAACAATAATAATGGCAATAGTAATTGTTACCGCCATCATTACTGTATTACCACTATGGTTACTACTACAATTTTTCAACGTATTTCTTCGCCTCCGAACACATCTCACACAAAAGAATAAAAAATCATTGAAAATTAAGTATGAAGCAATAGAATGACGCCACAGGAAAAGTTCATTATCGAAGCATTCTAACCAAAAAGTAGTGTGAATCATCGCACTGCTGCTTATTCAGGTTGCTTGACGCTATATTATCACTCTCAAGATAGCTAGGCACTTCTACTGGTAACGGGAAATCGATCACCGAGTTCGGATTTGGAGTGCTGCGGCGGCGGTTGCGTTGAGACGGCGGCGGCGGTGACGGCAATGATGACGGTGACGAGGACGGACGGATGGACCAACGGACGGACGGATGGACGGCGTGTGAGTGAGTGGAAATGGCTGCGTTTGGCCGCTCGTTCACTCTCCCTTGCTCCCCCTCTTCCTCTCGGAAAAGAGGGGACATTTGCGCCTATCAAGTAAACAGAGTAGCTACGGCGGTGGCGGTGGTGACGACGACGGAGGCGGCGGAAAGGCAGTCCGTCAAACAATCTCGTTCGTCGCTATCGCAATAGCTGTATCGCTCAGCAATCGCCGTCGTCATCACTGCCAGCGGTATCGCTTCCGGTGGTGACACGGCGACCGGTTGTAGGACAGAAATCGGCTGTTGTGGCAGACAACACTCCTCGAACTCTGTATGAACGAGCTAAGACGAGATTGTTGAGAAAATCCTTTATGATGGCTAAGGTTTTTGAGCCATCTCCTTCCGTCTCAGATGTGACGATTCGAGTCGAGTGTACCCATCGCCTTTCATTCAAGTGATGTAGGTCTTCGTAGTCGCAAGAAGTCTAATCTCATGGAGTCAGGCACCGCAACAATTAAAAACTCTTCAATGACTTTTTGGATGTCACCTTTAACGGTGAAGTAATAAAAGGAATCCAATCATATGTAGTATTTTCTTTAGCAGTCTGTCAAATTAGGGTTTTTTTCAAACCATCCATCTCGTGAGAAGTTTTCCCACAATGGAGCTGTTGCAAATTTTGACAGGCAACAAAGGATAGTGCTCTCTTCGCAGTGAAAAGTGAGCTTATTCTATTTCTAGCATATTTAAAGTATCGACCATAAAACTTCAATTGTGCTGCTGTGGAATGAATGAAATCTTCAAGACGAACATTTGCCATTAAACTGGGAGGCAATCTTTTACGCTTTAGTCGGTGCTTATCTTTTTAACAACGATTAATATGGTGATGAATATTACAAGAGCAGCGATGGGATCGGTAGTAGGATTTCTCATGGTTTCTGCTTTTACTGCATAGTTAGTCATTTATTGATCGGGGTTGAAAAGAAAATGGGATAGCAACAGAGACACGGTCCAGTTCAGATATTCTCACTGTCATCGAATACCGATGTGTTCCGTAACGTCGCTGACATGGAGACGATACATTACTGTATGACCGAAGCTTTTAGGGTTGACGTTTGAAAGATCGCAAGACCCCTTAAATTTTTACAGACATCTCATCGAAAAAGAACTACCGAATTACTGTTAAAACATTCCTTTTAAGGTGACCGGTCGACATTCTCAGAAAATGCACTGTAGAAAATTCGTGAAATGTTAGCCTCTCAGTTTAATAGGATGACGGTTTCAGATTTACCGTAGAACATTCTTTTTTGGAATTTTTGCTCCTCAGTTTACGAATTTGAAAAGTTTCTAGCAAAAAATGGTAAACCAAAAAATCTAAATCGAAGCCCTTTCAAAAATCGATCATTTTTTCTTCTCTACAGCGAATGACAATTAGTTAGCGAAGTTTTCTTGAGTTCTCTCGAGTTTCAGAATGTCGTATGTGTGCTTAAATATTCATAGGAAATGAATTCCTATCCGATATTTGCAAAGGTCATTCCGTTCCTTCCGTATGAAATAAGAAAAAAGAAATTAAGGATGACAGAAAGCGACACCTAAGCATTTTTTCTTTCGCATACTTTTCTCACATATTATTAATAAGCTGCATATTTTCTGTCTAGCATGAGAGTCAGCGAAAAATAGGCACAGTAAGAATTCTTGCCGATTAGTGAGATGTTGCCATCTACGAGGCGATGGATGCTGTGGTAATGCACGTTCGAATTCCAGCGTTCGTGATCTATGATGGAATAGTGCATGAGCGGCAGCGCCTAACGAATGACTGAATGAGAATTCGTAAAGATTTTCGTTGAGACACCACAGTTAGTAGGAAATTAATCAATCTTGGCCACTGTTACTAATGTCTATCATTCGGATGGACGTATGAGCGGCATTCAAGTGGACACACTCAACGTTCGTGAGAGCAACACCTGCTATCCGAACCACGTCAGTGGATGTGCCAGTACACAGTTTAAGTAATTCACTAAGCTGTGATAGTATAAAATTTTGAATTTCATGGATACCGTGAATTCTTTTGCTTCCTTACAATTACAATTTTCGCGACGTCAGTACATGTTTATCATAAGAGCTAGGGATCGTAGTTTGTAATAGAATGTTGCAGTTCACGTGGCAAAGTGAAAAAAGTGCTGCGAAGTGATTACTCCTGAATCTTGGAAGATTTTACTCGGTTAGGAATTGCTGCAGCCTTCCTATAAATTGATTTGCCAATGAAATTAATGGGAAGAGCACTCACATTGTGAAGCACCACCCGAGAATGCCGAGATATGAGTAAAACGTGGAACGTCAAGTGGGCTTCGAATCAGCGCTTACTCTTACCGGTGGCTAGCGTGCTATCCGCCACACCAACCGAGGCCCTTGCTTTGTCTTCCTCTCAGCCATATTTTTACCCTATTGGTGATACTAGAAATCACCAACCCATCAACGGAAATTCCCGTTTCCGGAAAGGCCACTTGAGGTTCCAAGTTGAACTCATCTCTCACAATCTTTGTCGTTGTACACCACATTATATCCTGACATAAGAGAACTATGCAGTGAATAAAGTTGAAAACAAGACATATGTTTTTGGTTTCTATGGTCTACTCACTAGCAAATATGCTATTCTTTCAAAAAAGAATCAAAATATTGATTTTATTCACTATTTCCTTGATGAGGAACAGATAGTTATTCTATGCTATTTTTTTCCATAGCAGCTAACATTACGGCGGTTTTCGCCCTGTACGGTTGGCATCTACTCGAGTACTCATTGAAAGACATATAAAACGGTGATCGCGTGAAGAAACAGTCTTATTTTAACACTTTTTTGTAGAGATCGTCGAGGTGTTTGACTGAGTAGGTTCTAGGTAACTTGACCTTTCCAGCTTCTGAAGAAGACATAATCCGCTGAGGTTTCAGTTGTTGTGAATAAATAGTATACAATAACAAACTCGTGTTGCTTACCAACGAGAAATCAACGTGTCATTGAAACGTAGACGATGGCGATAGGATTAGTTCAGAGCTTCATGACACTTCCAATGGGTGTTCGTGTATGCGGAAGTTTCCCACGAGCCTCCTTTCACATTCTCTTTGACGAACGAAAAATTTTATGCAAATAACAGATTGTCTAGCGAAGAGTTTCTTTAATTCTTAGCAGTTACAAACTTGTTAATTCACTGTGGTACCGATTAGCAGAATATTGCATAATCTCTAGTATATAGAAAACTCAACATCTGAACACTGATTTGAAAAAAGCCTTCTGTTGACTAGTTTGTTAGACCAATGAAAGGAAGGGACTCAGTTTAATTACTTTCACAAGAAGTGCAATAGAAACGTGGAAATGCAAAAGCAGGACTAAGACGATGGTGTTAATGACAGTGATGAACGTAATGAAAGTGATGAAATAATAATGAGAGTGGTGCCCATGCAAACGGAATATGTGAAGCCTTCTGAGACAAATTTATTATAGGATATAGTGAGAGAACACCACGATGATTTTTTCTCTGGAAAGTCCATTTATCGGTAATAGTAAGTGTAACTGCTGGTGTTATTGGAGTAGAAGACGATATAGCAAATGACTAGTTAAACAAAGAACTCCAACTTGAACTTGGACTTTGACCTTGGCTTATGAACTCACTAGTTTGTTATACCTTTTTTATTTTTTGCCTACGATAATTTCGCGGCAGGGTACTAAGCGAAATACAACCACAACGTTGCTGAGATATTTGAAAAACTCTGGACCGCAGATGTCTATTGTGGGGAACGAACGCGCTATTGTCCTTTCCGGGGAGTAACTCGTTTACCACCACACCATGCGGGTCCTTTGTTTCGCCTGTCTCTCAGCTATTTCTATCGAAATAAAATCAAAAGATCGATAGAAGTAGCTGAAAGACAGGCCAAACAAAGGACCCGCATGGTGTGGTGGTAAACGAGTTACTCCCCGGAAAGGACAATAGCGCGTTCGTTCCCCACAATAGACATCTGCGGTCCAGAGTTTTTCAAATATCTCAGCAACGTTGTAGTTGTATTTCACTAGTTTGTTCTATAGGCAAAAAACCATGTTGTGGAAACCTGGTGTTTTTTAGAAACGCTCACACCGGTAAAGTGCGTTGATGATCTTCTTGAGTGATTGATTAACACGTTCAGTCTCAAATTTGTACCTCATTCCGAGCGAAACCGCACACGGTCAGTGAATTGCCATTGTTGGCGGTTCGGTCGTTCTATGTGATGATACAGGTATGCAGGCACCACGATCTACATTGAGTTACACAAAAGATCGCCCGTCGGTCGTCATGACAAAGGCGACCTCCACCGCTGAGTGCGGAACTGTCACGAACGCCTTTTGTAAAACATTCATGAAGCTCTCACTAAACTGAGCGATTCATTGTAATAAAACAATCATTAGAGGAAAAGCAGACACGGGAAGAAAATTCTCCATAATCGGTTTCATCTTTAGGTGCACCAATCCTATCCGCGTCGTATTAAACTTCTTATCTATAAGGCATGATGCAATGACGTCACTCCAAATCGGTGGTTTTTGTGTGGTTCAATAAGTTTTTCCCTAAACATGCTTCGCAAAATTTCAATAAACATTTGGGTTTTTACGGTTAGCCTTCTTTAAGTCTGACAAAATATCTAAACACAGGAGAAAGTATGAGATAGGAATCTCAGAGGTATATTTTTGAGTTCTTAACATCTAGATCCGAACAAACTTCAGAAGAATGGTTCTTGTGAGTGGTTGTCTATTCCACTAGTAACATCGCTTTGCCTGAAATATGGAAATGACTAAAGAGAAGTTTAAGAATATTTCAGAGCATCAGTTCATATGCATATGAACAAAACGATGGTGCGCTCAAACAAGTCATCGAAAGAGCCGTTGAGTCAAACACGGAACACTACAATGAAAATAGAGGGTTTTTTCATAGGGACGTTCGTTTTTTTTTGCCCTGTAAAACAAAAGGTGAGTAGACCGAACAACTGAGTTTCGTTGGAAGGATGTTATTTTTTCTTTAGGTAAACGTATTGGTGACGGAATCGGGTTCTCTTCACGAGATTTGTATCAAAACGTGCTCAAATGA